AGGAGCGAGGCGAAGAATTATAGAATCGTCCTGAAATTCGCTCGTGTGCACGGAGACGTTTCTGGCTCTCCATTCTGCTGTTATCTCGCCAACGAAGAAAGCGTGATTGCCTTTATGGGGGAAGAAAGGGTCCTTCGCGGTGGCGATAATGTCCTCGCCGCGGCGACGGAGGCGTCGCTATCAGAAATAAAACACGACGCAACCGGGGGGGTGGTTCGAGGGTTGGAAGGGGTGGGCGCGGAGAGGTCCCACCCTCTCGTTCCCAGAGATTTTCCTCGGTTACGATTCTCCCGCGCATACCCTCCGATTAGTCCTACGAATTCGTAGTGTAAGTGTCTACATGGAACGCTCGACCTTTTTCGATCCACTTCTTTTCGGGGTTGTGTGTCAAGGATTCGTTCAGATGAACCTATTTCCACGAAACTTGTCAGAATTGATTCATATCCCACAAATAATTCACGTTGGTTTACCAAAGATATTGTATTCTTACAATATTTATATTATAATTCTATTTGGTAATTGATGTCCACCATATATGTACTTTGGAAATTGGTTTACTTAAAGAAGATGAGGAATTATGAAAATAATATTTTGGATAGATGACATAAGTAATAACTGTGGGACTATTATTAGGTTTGTCGATAAATTCGAAATAGAATTTTGATTATTCTAGGACTTTTCCTTAATAAAAATACTACTTGTTTGATTATTTAAAGCAAGATTCATCAGAAGTATTGAGTTTTTTGTTTTATTCACACCTAATTAGACATTTAAGAGAAGAAAAAAATTCCTATATTTGCTCGTGTTTTTATGAATTACCTTAAAAATTTTCATTTTGCCGAAAAATCCACAGTTTAGTAATGAAGAACCCACAATTTTCTTAATCAATAAAGTGGCCACTGTAAGTTTAAATTTAATGTATCTATCTAATATCGACTGCCTGTATATTTAAAATATACGAAGATTTTCAATTTACTTTTTGTCGTCTTGGTACAAGAGGAAATCTTTTCCTACATTACTCCATCAATTAATTATTCATCTACCCTTTACTACTAATAAAAATTCTAATACCTTCAATTTAATCGCAAAAGTGTCCGACCCTTCTCGAATCGAAGTAAACAACAACGATCCCTTCGATTAAGTTTCGATTTATTTACAAACGTCGCGTTATATTACAGCAATAATTAACAATGATTACGTGCGTAACGTCTCGGATTGGGGATGGGTGGGGGGGGGGGGGGGGTGGGGATATACGATCTCTACAATCTTCGTTCTCGTTTCGCGGCACGAAACACGACGGGCCAAGGAACTTACGTTGAATAAACTGGAAAGATATGCTCCTATTCTTTAGATACGCTTTTATTATTATTATTTACCGACGCGTCTCCCGTTCGATAATCCTCGAACGTGTGTCACGGGATACGCCGATTTTTCCTACGATCGTTACGATTTAGTATACAATTTTTTTTTTTCTCTCGCTCTATGGCGAAAGTGTTCCGCGGGAAATTAGTCTGCATTCTGGTCTGCTGACAGTACACGCTCGGTGTTGTCCACGCGGATATTCCGGTGGAAATACACGCGCCCGGAACGACGGGGACCGTTTACGGAAACACGGACAGGTGAGCGCGAGCGCGATCGCTAAAAATCGACTACGATAAAACTCCGACAATGCTCGAACGGCCTGTTCATAACGAATTCAACAATCCGCCGGGTAGAATGCAAACAATTTGCCGCGGAAAATTGAACGCTTTTATTCCTATTCGTCGATCATTCGACGTCGTCGCGTTTCAGCGAAATTGTGTGCACGGACGCCTTCGTGATTATAGACCGTCGAATCAATTACGGTATCCTTTCAATTGATTATAGTCTACATTATTCTGGAGACTTCGAGAAGGTAGTAGCAGCCTTAAAAGTCTTGTCCCATTTCCGTTTGCGTGGATATTTAACAAACGATTAAATTCTTGTCATTCGTACTGTGCTGGTTCTCGAGAAATGATCGATCCTCCTCCGACGGTGTCTGGGTCCATTCTGACCGAAGATGTTAGAAATTTCACGCAGCCATTTTAATTTATAGAAAATAAGGCGTACAGTTTACTAATACAATATTTTACTATACAACCATTTTATAAAAAGTCCAGGATATTCTAAAGAAATTAATTCTATTAACACATCTAAAGACAGATGAGTAGGGGTCTATCTGGACTGAGGCACCGCCGTCTACTCGATCATCAAAAACGTCCACCTTCCTCGGGGTTAATCCAAATCCGACAAACTTGATTTCAACGACATACGTCCTATCATAAACTCAAGCTTTCTCATAAATTCTCGTATAAATCGTCCTGTACAATTAATTAACGAAAATCATAACAACTAATATAAGCAACCCTTATATAACACGGTATCCCAATAAGTTAGAAAATTGGGGAATCGTATTCGTACTACAACAACACGATCAAAGAATTGCGTAGAATTGTATAGTTCCAATATTTTCGTGGAACCAAACCACCGTGTCATACGAGGGTTACCTCTACCGCCCAACTTCAAACAACTACCCCTCAACTCAACGCAATCTCTCTTCGTCCCATTAAAAAAAAAAAAAAAACGATCAAATCTTCCAAGTACAATTAATACACAGAGCCAGCACGCTGTATAAATATCACAAAAAACGTTTCATGCCTATTCCCAAAAGAACTTCGAAAATCCCTTCCACAGATTCGCGTCCCTTCCGCGTAATCCTCGGCGTGTCCGCGCAAGCAATCACGAGCGTACAGAGAAACGGCCACGGCGAAGAGAAAGGGACGACCAACGGCGGTGGTGTGGGTTGGATCGACAAGCAGAAGAAAGAGAAAATATTGGAGAGTTGCAGTATCGATGCGCGACGCCGGCCACCGCGACGCAATGAAATCATCTCGCGTACGAGGGGGTAGAACGGTGGTATAACGCGTACACAGGTCCGCTGTCGCATCTACGTTAGCATTCAGACACGTTTGGCTTATTTCGCATGGCCGAGTCCCAAAGAAGAGATTTGCCTCCGCTTTCCAAGAGGTTTTTTTTTTCTGCTCCTCCTACTCTCGCACCACACCAGTCTTTCTATTCCCCGCTCGCGACCGTTTCCCCCCCTGCCGCTTTGGCTGGCTCGCGTGTGGCGGTAATATGTGCCAGCGAGAGGGTTGGTTATCTCATCAAAATTGGACTCTTCTGGCATCCTGCGCGCGTTGCCAGCCCGCCTGTCTCTCTGTGTACACGGGTTTAGCAGAGAAGACCTATTCGCCTCTCTTTGTGGGATTTCGGCCGTGGTGAGTTATCGATTCGGGCTTTGGTATCCACCGAACACCGGCGTGTCGCATAACGAATTCTTTGCGCGCTGTCCTCTTCGAGTGCATGCACACCCCTTTCTGCTAGCCGTTCATCGCTGGAAGCTCGTTTCGCCTCGATCTGTGTGCGTCTACAACGAGACGACGTGAACGAGTTCCTTTGGAAGAATCGTGACACTGTATACAGGGTGTAACAAAAATTTTTGAGGACCCGGAAATGAGAGACTCGTGAGGTGATTTGAAACAAGTTTTTCCTTAGCAAAAATGTCATTCGAGGCTTTGTTAATGAGATATTAACGAAAAACCCCGACCAATCAGAGTGCGAGTCTGCCGGCCGAGTTCCCGCGGTAACGTTGGCTACTGCGATTGGCAGACTCGCGCTCTGATTGGTCGGTGTTTTTCGTTAATATCTCGTTAACAAAGCCTCGAATGACATTTTTGCTAAGGAAAAACTTGTTTCAAATCACCTCACGAGTCTCCCATTTCCGGGTTCTCCAACATTTTTGTTACATCCTGTAGGCGTACGCTTAACGGATAGCAGTTTTCGTTTGGTTCTTGGAGCTTTGGACCAGTCATTCGCCGTGAACAGTTGAGGAAACGATGACGCTAGGCAAGTTCAATTTATCACACACACACAAACCGCAACTGGTCTTCTTTAGGGGTTCGTTTGGACGATCATTTGAGGTTTCTAGACACATCGGAGTGTCCAGGTCCTTACAAGGAAAGAACTGCAACTGTCCGATTTGTAGGATGATAGAATATAAGTTCTTAATGATATGTGTGAAGTATTAGGTGTAGACACTCGATACTTTTAAAGATATGAACAATTGAAGTTACGAACCGTTGAGATATCTATATTATGGATGTGAGTCAAGATTATCGAAGTTGCGTTCGCAAAGGGAAAGCAATAATAGTTTGGTAAACGGGAATCGATTCTAGCACCTATATTCATACTATGTAAAGGTTCTTAACTTGGATTGTTTATATCTTCCAAATTATTGATTGTCTAGACCTAATACTTCACACATATTATTATATCTATACAATCATCTTACAAAACCCCGTTAATATCGAAGTCAGAGAATTGGGGACCTTCCCTTATTATCCTTAAAGTCTTTGTTTCTGATACACTTTATCCCAGGAAACTTTCTCCCATTTCCATCCTCAAATCTCTAAACGTCTAACCGTTCACAATCCTTCCAAATTCTTGGATCTTCAAGCTAACAGTAGTCCACGTACCAACGCAGAGAAGATGATGTTAGACATTGGATTTTGTCGCAATACACAACAGATTTTTTCAGTCCATTTCAGAGGTTGTTCCAAGGTGTCCAAACTTCGGTCTTCTGTCTGATCATCATTGTAGTCTGTGTCTTCTCAGTACATTCTTGTATACTGGTTATTCTACTAGTTCCTATCCCGATCAGTCTCCGACTTGACAAGTCCTATGCCCCAGACTCCGCCAGGGATCACTGTACATTAGCAATATGGACGTTCCTAGATCTGGCCATGATGGAGTTCCTTTGCTGGTCCTCTTGGAACTGGACCTCATCGTCCTTTGGCGCAGTTAGGTTCGTGACGGTGGCTTGGGGGATCGGTGAAAGCATCGGCGGCACCCTCCACCAATCGGTGGTCGGCCATCCAGGTGGTACCAGGTTCCCCCGGAAGTCCGGGAGAACCGGAAGTGGTCTTCATATGACGTGGCCGCGATGGGCGGACAAGTTCGAGCTGGAAGAGGTTAGGTTCTGAACGGAGAACGCGTTTTCCACTTTGGTCGACGTTGTGGACGTCGTCGTTGTGGCAGTATTGATGACTTTCTCGGTTTGATCGGTCGGGGATGAAGACGAGGACGAGGAGAAACGGTCCTGGGACCTGTCCTCCTGATGCCTGTCCACTGACGGTGAGAAACTCTCGTCTTCTAGCTTCCTATATCGTGATTCCTCCCTGCTGGAGTCTCTGTCTGAAGGGAAATTGTCGTCTTCCGGCTTCCCTGGGCTAGGAAACGGTCTGTCTTCTATCTTCGCGGGTAGATACGGCCTCTTCGAGTCCTTCGGTGGACTTGGACAACCGCAGTTCGGCTGAAGGCAGGTCGCCGTGGACAAACTCGGCCAGGACATGGTCTGGTGGCTCGAGTAGAACGTACTGCCGCCGTAGAGAGCCTGAAAGGCCAGGTCAGCTGCTAATTTGCCGCCGTTGAATTCCTCTCCTAATTTGTGCTGGATCGGGTAAAGGGGATACGGAAAGGGCGGGAAGAAACGGGGAATCTTGAGATCCTCGTGGCTCATCAGCGTGTGATGCGACGGGGGCGCGAGAGGCGGCAACAGACCCCTCGATATATTGCCTAGGGTTTCACCTGAGGACATCAGGGGCGATATCGAGAAGCCGAATTTGTTTTCCTTCTTCACCAGGGACTTCGGCTTCCGGCGGGGACGGTACTTGTAGTCTGGATGCTCCTTCATGTGGAGGGCTCTGAAACCATAATGTTGTTCCGGTTAATCGATTTGCGATCGAATTGGTAATTAATTTTTCTACGGATCTTGGACTCGTAAGTTTTTGTTCAGTTGGGGTAACTTATTATTAGCGAGGCAATATTTATTTTCTGTTGAAATAAACCAGAGAGAAGAAAATCATAAAATATTTAAATGTAATAAATTTGTATTTGGTTACCCATAAGAGATTGAAGAGTGGTAATTTTTAATTTACAAATATTTGTGATACTTCGATCTAGTGTATGTTTGAATTTTTCCTATGATAATTTGGATTCGTTTCGTGGTTATCACTAGACCGCGGATTTTCATGCGAAATGAAATTTTGGAAAATAATTTATACAAGCAGGAGTAAAAATAGAAAATTCGCCCCCGTTTTAACGATTTTAGCGGGCTGAATATAAAATGAACAATTTACTAAACCTGATGGAATTGTTGTCGTTTATTGTATTTCACATACTTTTATGTACTATAAATGCATAAAATCCGTAGTCTAGGTATCACGAATCCACCATAGAACCTGCGATCGTCAGCTCAGGAGGGTAGCTTGGCTTCAAACATTACAAGGGGGTGGCTTAATCGAACAGTTTCGGGATACTGAACGAGTAGTTTTGCGAGGGGTTGGAAAGATAATCCCGGACCATTCTCTAATCAACCACGGTTCTCACCGAGCTTCACAAAGCGCACAAATAATATTCATATAAACACCAACAAACACAAACAGGATCGCCAAAAGTAAACGTAAAATTTGTCTTGGAAACATTTCAATGGTAAAATAAAAAATGCTACTTCAACAGGAGGGTCCCTTCTTCTTAGACAATGATTGCACCGGTATCTACCTTCGATAATCCAGGGGGGCCTGCGTTATCACGCGAAGAATCGCACGGCGAGACACTTCAGAATTCAGTAAACTTTGCTCTCGACACCGTTATCCGTACAAAGGGACGTATTATCGTGTTGCTAGAACACGATACGGGCCACCATGGGTATTTGTAGTAAATATCTTGTACACACAACCCGGGGTACGGAGGCGCAGCCGACGCCACACGGCGGGGGCTGCTGAGAGAGCGAGAGGGGGGAGGAAGGGAAGAGTCAGAGCCCCGTGGTATCTCCGTCACATAATACTCCATTATGTATCCAAGAGGCGCACAAACGCGGTCCTTATTTATGCCTCGCCTCGCGTAGATAAAAGAAAGCGTGAGGGAAGCGGGCGGTCGCCTCTCGCCACCGGGGAACTCTTTTTCTCGCGCGGACTCGCTTCGCGGGGGAATCCTCCCGGAAACGGCTGCACAATGGGGAACACGCGAGTTATTCCGAGCAGTTCGCCGAGGAATTTCCCGGGAACATTTGATACTTGACACATGTTCGCTTTATGCGACCAATAAGTCGTCGTAACTTCGATGATTTTCGTCTGCAGCAAGTTTCCCAATTTTTTTTAGCTTACCAACGCTTTTTCAAAGTTTGTTTTTCTTTTGCGCCACCTTCGGGTAATCTTTCTGCCAAAATTTTTCTATTGCAGTTGGGCGTGTTATGTTTGAATCTTGAGCAGTTGGATTGAAAATAGAGAAAATAAAGTAACTGGAACGTACCCTCTCCAGACCTCCTTAGCGCCTATGTTAGAAATCTATGGGGTACAGAATGCACCAGTGAAGCTATAGGATTCTGTTTTTTCAAGAATCGTGGTAAACTTTCGCTTGGAAATTTTACTACAGTGAATTGATCAGCTGTTCAGTTCGTTGGAATAGAAAGGGATATTTCTTAGTAACTTTGAGGTTGTTATATGAGATTCAAATAAATTTTATACGATTACTGTTTGTGTATTGCAAAAGATGTGGGATATGTTATAAAAAAAAGGTACAAGAGAAACAGAATTCAAAGACTATTTGCGAGTTGTAATAAAATCATGTAAAGCACATACCTGAAGGTTAATTTTATCACGTAAGATGACTAGACTTGCGGATGTTTATGCAAATATAGATTCTTGTGAATAATTCATTAAGATTGTAGTCAACCAGAAATTTGTTTGAATGATCAAGGTTTCCATAAGATTCGACAAAAAATAACTTCTGTAAATTTTATTAAAAATTTACCTGTACCAAAGTTAAAAGAATCGTGTACACGATAAATGTACATGACACATAACAATCACTACTTCCTACGTATTCGGTAATATTCAATACACCACCTGGAAGCTACTTTAACAACTCCCGAAACCCTGCACACTATCTCAATTCCCCTCCAGCTTAAAAATCCCACAAAATCTACATACATCTCCAAAATTCACAGATATCGTGAAAAACCTCAAACAAGAATGCACAAGAATAAAGTAACTAAACATCAACGATATCTAATCTCGAGATGCACACAAAAAACCAGCCAAGTCCCAACGAACGAATCCGTCGCGATAGGCAGAAATTGCAAATCGGCACGGTTCTGTAAAAAGAGTGGGAGGGGGTGGGTGTGTAGGGGGTTACGGCGCGAAATTTTCCGACTCGCGAACGAAATCCGAAATTTCGGTTCCTCGCGGCGAGAGTGACGCACCGGAATAATAATTCCGGGACAATGTGTCCCGGCAGATAGCACAAAGCGTAAATCAGCATAAACATCGGTAAAGCCCCGCCGACAATAATTCAGCATAAATGCATAAACATCGGGCGGTAATCTTTACAATTCGCCGGGAGCCCTCCACCGCCATGAGGGGGTGTTGGAGGTGGGGGAAAAGGGGTGGCGTACGCTCGCAACCAGCCGCGACCACCGCCACCCAGCATCAACGCTTCCAACCGCGCGATAAACAACGCGTTATATCATATCGGTGGACATAAGCCGCGCGGTTGTAGCTGCAGCTCGCGGCCGCCGCAACAAGAAACAATAACAATTAGTCACGATTGTCCGCCGGTGCTCCGCGAATGTCATTAGTGTAACGATTCGTCATAAATGTCATTGTGCCGCAACGACCGGCGGACTTTCGCGGATACCAGCCGGTCAGCGGTGAACCTTTCGCGACTGAACCGATACTACCGGGGGGCGCTCTTGGTAACGAGAGCTTCCGGTGACGCCATTGTTACGGGCCGCTGAAGACTTTTTATGGAATATTTTTACTGGACTGTGTATTGCTTTCATATGAGGTCGAGGATTAGTACAGGGTGGGTTTACGTATTGGAAAGGGCAACATATCGTGTACTCGTGAGAAAGGTATTATAATGAATGTTCAGTTTACTTCGTGATGTATTTTCTGGTGCGCAGATCCACCATAGTGTCATACGTTGAAGTCTAATGCTTCATGCGAGATGATAGTAGTGCCACTTTGTTTAATATATGAAATGCTACGTAATGAATCAGTTTCTTTTCGATCTTCTGAAGAATTATAAGGTTTCGACACGTGTACACTTTTCTTGCGACGATACGATATTTTTTTTTTTATAAATGATAAAAAAGGATTTAACCCTTTGCGTCCATAGCAGATGCAAATATGTTTCAATATTATTTCGTATACAGATAGAATATTAAAACTAACCATAGGTAGTTTGGGAATATAAGAAGAGAAAAGTGAAAAAATATTAGAAGATACACCTCTGAATATTAATGAGAAATAAAAATGGTACACTGCGTTTCATAATCATAAAAACACCCTAAAATATTTTGTCCTTATGTATCGTGGTTAAAATAAAAATGAATCATTTTTTTCTAGGGAATATAAATTATCCTTTTCTGGAAGAATATTATTTCTCAACAGGATTTCAGACATGGCATACTAGGTTCGTTTTTATTTTAACCGCAATACATAAGAATAGAAAATTTTAGGGTGGTTTTACGCCACGCAGTGTGTACCTACATTATTTCGCAAAAGGCGCAATTTTCTAACTTGCCTTGCCCAGTAAGAAGCATTTCCAAAGTACGAATTAACTAGTCCTGTCCAGTAAGAAGCATTTTCCACTGACATGTTACCCTGTTACCGCCAGTCAACAGATTAATGAAACCAGGGACTTCTACCGACACGTAAAATACGGTATTATATAGGTATTTTCGGTTGTACCTTCGCCCTATATAATCCTCTATAAGCCCTACCCTTATAGAAACCAAAAATATACCGGTATTCATTTCTGTTTTCGATAATACATCGGTTTTAATATTTAATATATCCATACCGATTTAAGTCTCAGAATGAAACACAGAAAATCTCGACTATCTCCGCGACCAACCGTATATCACAAGCAAGCGACACCTACAGGCTCTACTCATTACTCAACGTCCGGCCCCATCTTGCGCCTCGCGTAAGACTAACCGACCCCTTATGCCAGCGGATCGCGAAACATCCTCCATTTCCGCGACACCGTTTTAACTTCCCCCATCCTTCCCCCTGTTGGTTCTGCTTTCCTGGGTCTCCTCGTCGACCGAACGAAAACGTGGAACGAGAGACAACGGCGTAGAAGTCGTCGAAAAGGGTGTCGGAGGAGGGAATCATCGGACAGGCAGCAGCAGTGGCAGCGGCACAGCCAACGAGCAGCCGTGAGGGTGAGAGAACCGTAGGGAAGTCGCCGTGAACGAACGGACAGATTACGTCGGGCCAGTGACGGCTCGGGTACGGGGGGAACCCGTACCTACCCAGAAACGTGGTGGCTCCTGGGGAAACGACTTTTATCGGGCCTTCTCCTCTTTATTTTATGATCGTCCGCGCTTGCCCCCTTCCACTCCCACCCCTTCAACCCTCTCGGGCTTCTAGCGCGGAACCGTTACCGGAGTCGTCACCGACGTTGCCATCCGCCAGAAAAGCGGATTCACCGTTACATGTCTCTCTCTATGCCCGAAATTTTCCTCCATCCCTCCTCTGGCATACTCATAGGGCGAATTGGGGGTTGCGACCAACCACCCTCTCGACCCTACGAGGAACGTTCTCGCGGTTGGAATGAATATTGAGATCACGAAATGATCTCCAATTCGACGACCACGTGGTTTCTGGTTTGTTTTATTCGAGGGGGGTGGTATTCTGATTCAGGGTGAGGAAAGTTAATGGAGGTTTCTGTTGGTCCGAGGGTTCGGCGAGATTTCACGGTGTAAACCGAGTGTTTGACTTTGGCGGATACCGAGAGGCTGCGTGGTAATTTTAAGCTGGGAATGTACTTAATTCGTTTCGCTGGGGTGGTATTTGGATAGGGTGGGAGGAACGAATGGGGTTCTTTGGTTTGAGGATTTGGTATGATTTTATTGTGTTATTAGAGTGGTGTGTTTAGACGATACTGTGAACGCGAGGAGGGTTCGAGGTGGGAGTGGTTTTGTAGTTTATCTTATTGGGGGTGGTTTTTGAGGCGCGCTGTGTGGGAGATCGATAAAATTTTCATTTTTGCGAGATTCACAGATAATAGAATGAAGATCGAGATCCAAATGAAAGATTCGAGTTTCTGTGATGTATAATAATTTACAATGGGAAATGATTCTTATTTTATATCAGGGAGTCTATTTTCAAATAACAGTGTGAAACAACAACTAATTTTAGTATCTTAATAATCCTATTGTCAAAGAGCCAATATATTAAATATATTTTTCCGACCTCTCACCTGGTAATAAGACAGTATAAATCCTAACTTCAGATATAAATATTCATTTCGTGAACAAAATCTTAAATGACTTCCAGAATTAAAAAAAAAAAACACATTTGATTTGTCTTTTCCTAAGACTCTAAAATAACAAACTCTAAAAAATTGGTATCAAAGTATATTCGAAGGCCCACCAAATCCCATTCTATACTCCATTATTGCATCTATACAACGCTTTCCGTGCAACAATTGGGGGAAAGTAAAATACGAACGTAGAGATTTGGACGTAAAATATAATGGATCGCCGAACGAAAAAAAAAAAAATTGGACGAACGGCACGGGGCAGCTATCAACGGACAATTTCCTTTTCCTTTTTGTTGTACAGGTCGATCACGATCATCGACGGAAAAAGCGGATTCGACGTTGCATCGCACCGATAGAACCGGCGCGGTCGACTTCCATTCCCTTCTTTTTTTCACTTTTCGAAAAAAAAAAAACGGATCCGCACGGGTGAAACGTACACCCTGGGCGATTCAGAACGAATCGACGGTGATGCGTTTTAGAAGAAACGACTTTATTATTCTATTATTTATTTTACGAGGGCCCATCGTCGCGACGAGTTGATTCCGCTAGATTTTATATTCAGCCTCGGTTGCCTCCTATCAATTGCCTATAACCCAGGCGATTTTTGCTTTGGGAAACCGCGATAAACCTGGATTCAGTCGTTCCCGCGTCCAACTATTCAATTAATTCTGATTTCCCCTCCTGTACTTCTCGTTCCCCTCTTTATTTTATTTTAAAGATCCCTTAATTCGGCCGTTTCCACCATTTCTTAATCCCAGAACGCACGATATTGCATTGTTGCAGCTTCGTTCAATATAAACATAAAAATTTTTCTTCTATAAATAATAATTTTAGGAAGTAATGAATGAAAAGAAACGTAAAAAGAATTTGTGAAGTGAATATTGAAACGAATATGTCTTATATTAATAATTTATACTAAACGAAACTCTAGAAATTTGAAAATAGAAGAAGTAAACTATACTAACAATTATTACTAGGTTGCGAATTTTTATTAAAAATGAGAGTTCCTAAAGTAATTCTATACGACAAGAGCAGATGTAGGGATTTGTTTCTTCTCTTGAATATCTTACTGGGTTAAGAATAATATAGAAAATTCGTTGCACGTGATGAAAGTTTTGTCTCTTATTGTATTCACAGAGCACATAATCAGCAATTTAATTATCACCCTACTTTATGATATCTTATAACTATTAGACTATGGATGTTTATGCATTTATAGCATTTCTGAACTTGGAAAATACAGTAAGACAAAGATTTTAATGAAGCTTGATATTATTTATGTGTTAATATTATGTCCCATTTTAATTTTTAAATATTCGTACCTAAAATTGTGAATTTACGTAAATTATGTTAAAAGTAAACGTACTTCACAAATTCGATAATTTTACATGGAACAATATATTGGAGATTGCAGATAAACTGTGCGTCTAATCCTTGCTCCGAAAATTCGATTCGAATTAATTCCGCTCAATGAACGAAGTAATTGAAGAGACAGAACAGAAAATATCTTCCGAAAGGGTCGGTAATAAAGAGCTTGTCCCCTCCACCTCCATAAATACCACTTCGTTCACCCTATTCCACCCCTTAGCTTAGCGCAGCACGCCCTTAGCTTTAGCAACAATGTACCGTATTATGAACTACGCTGGGCTGCCCCCCGTTTCTCGTTCTCGATCCCCCCATCGGTTATATCGCAGATACGCCTCGACGCTATAATTTCGTACGGGCGGTCTCGTGACTAAAGAGCAATTAGCGCGTGAAGAAAAAATCGGGGGAGTCGATTGAAAACGATACGAGGCCCTATTCGAAGTAACTTACGAAGCGTGGAGAAAAATATTCAATAAATGTTACAAGAGAATAGAAATCGTGAACAATATCTTTCGAACTTTTGTAATATAATTTTGGGATTGTGATTCACAATTTTTTAAGGAGTTCCATTTTAATATTATTGGAATTATGTATTAAAATAGCGAATTTATTTCCCTGAACGTCGCTCTGTAAACTAATCATTAGAATTATTTATTTTTATCTAAATCACCATTCTTTTTGTGTGCGCTTCTTTTACTTGCAAAAATGTATAATAAAGATCGCAAAATTCATAAATTGATTTCGGATAATTCAAGTGACATGTGAATTTCTCGGTCTAGACATTTGCAAACTAATTTCAATTTTAAGCAGATAATTTTTATTGTTAATTTAACATATAAAATATGACCACTTATGGTTAATCCGTTTAAATTCTTTGATCTATAGAAGCGGACAAAAAAGTTACCACTTTTCTGATTGTTTACATTTCTATTATCTCATAACTTCAACTTAAAACATTAATGTGCTGGGTTTTATACAGGTTTCAATTCTCTATCGGAATATATATTAAACACATACTAAAGTTTCAAGCTAATATTAAAAATAATAAAAATAAAACAAATCGAAAAAGTGGTGATTTTTTTGTCCGCAGCTCTATATATTACAGAGAAATTAAATCTATGTTCAATACTGTTATTATTCATTGTAAAATTGTTTAAACGCGCCCGATGGTTGAAAAATCGTGTCCAATTAATCGAAGACAATTAAATCTTACCTTAATCGTTTGGCTTCGTCGATGAAAGGCCGTTTCTCGCTCTCGCTGAGCAGCTTCCATTCAGCCCCGAGCCTCTTCGAGATCTCCGAGTTGTGCATCTTCGGGTTCTCCTGTGCCATTTTCCGTCGCTGTCCGCGTGACCACACCATGAACGCGTTCATTGGCCTCTTAATATGCTCGTTGTGAAGCGTCTTCGACGACATCTCGACTACTTTGGTAACCCCTCGATCCCTTCCCAAACACGACTTTCGAACTGTCCAAATTACTCTATTCAATTCTTCTCTCCCACTGATCGTCCATATGGTTTCACCGTCAGAAAAATCCGTCTATCTTCACCGGTCCCATACATCATTCCAAAAACAACTCCAGTCGTCGTGCAACCATCAAAACCACAGGTCACCTTCTCGTACAGTGTCCAATCACGTGGTCATCGGAACCACTAATCTCGGCACCACACAACCCAAACCCCTCAATTCCGACGATACAGTACTCAAAACCACCAGTTTATTTCATCAACAAAAATCAAGTCTACCCTCAATCTCGAAGAACAATCAAATTCCTCAGAGTCTCAACCCCCACAGTACCTCCAAAAGTCTTCTAAATCTTCATTCAATCATCATGGTCTCTAAACTTCTGATTGTAATCGATCCTCTTCCAGGTCTTCCAGGTCTTTCAGATCATTCAAATCTTCTAAGGTCTTCCAAGTCTACCAGGTCTGTCAATCACTCACAGAATCACCTTCCCAGTTCATTCCTCAGCCATGATCCAACTGTGCGCTCTTTAACCTCGTCCCTTTTATAAACAATGCGTGACAGTTGGAGGTGTCCAATCGGGGTGTGCTGTTTGATTGTTACCGTGGCGAGGACTGAAGGCGAAGAGGATCCTGGTCAGGACCTCTGCGACGTCGAGTCTGGGATGAGCCAGGGTGGAATCGAGAACCCCGCGCGTAGCAGACGTAGGAGCCCCGTGGGACGCGGTGGAAACAAGGATCGGCCAACCAGGAATGTTCCTCCTCTCCCACTATTCTCCGCCGCTCGCGGACACCCACGATTGGCTCCTTCGCCGACATGGCGGACCGAGGACACGGCTGGGATCAACAGGTGGAGGTGTATATGTATACACCTTTCTCTGTTTCTCGAGCGTTCTCCTCTATTCCTCTTCCATTTTACGTGCGGCGCGGTGGCGTCGCGAGTCTGTCGTGTCTCTGTCCACGCAGATTATCGTATACTGGCACCGGTTTTTCTGACCTTTTTTCTGGCCCCCTCCTCTCCATTCCTAACCCATCGATGTCGATGGTCAGCTCGTTTCCGGGACATTGATGGTCCGAGACAATGCTCCTCGGATACGATTCCGTGGAATTAAGTGGAGTAGCTCCGTTGCGGGGCGGACGTGATCTGATTCAGGGATCGATGAGGAGTCGCGAGAGACCGCGGGACAGGACTCGCTTGTGGGGAGAATTAATTGCTGTTTGTCGGTCGATCCTTTTATCGCTAATGTAAATAATCTTTTTAAGACATATTTTTTTGTGTATTTTCGTTTTGGTATGTGTTTTTACTTTACTTGTATATTAATATCTGAGGACTGATGGTTGGGTCTCGATGCTTGTGTCGTGTATTATTGTTTGAGTGTAAATGATATTTGATCTTGTTAAATGTATAAACAAAGTTTTGTGTTAACACTAGAACTAGTCGAAATGATTGGTCTGTAATTCCTTGTGAGAATTTCATCAATTAACGATATTGAATTTTCTGAAATTTTCAATGATACTTAGTATATGCACATGAATAAATTTTATAATAATATATATTTTCTTGTACATCTGTAACTTTTTTTAGATCAAGGATTGCAACATGGTTTTTAAGACAGCATTATTACTGAATTATTGATCTCTGAGAATGGTACTGAAATTCCAGGTTAAATGAAAATTTGTTGAACAAATGTTCAATGCATTGTAGATTAAAATGTATAACACATTCAATGTAAATTTTATTGGATTTTTAATGAAGGTTGGGGATAAATATCTAAGATCGCATTGATGTAGTTCAGACGTTATTTCCAGTTGTGAAAACGATTTGAAGGAGTCAATTGTACTCGAGACCACGACGATTAGTAAACTATGAATTTCAACTTTTTACTTCACTTCCTGAATTCGAAATTTCGTCATATCCTCTAGAAAATATGTATAATTAATGTTTCCGAAAAATCGCTGACGAAGCAATTACCAAACGTCATTCCTAACGTAGCGAATAAGTAATTTTTTTTAATAGAACGACACCACTATCGACCCATTTCTTTGCGAGCCACGTTGTCACCGTGGCCACAATGTCGAACACTCAAGTTTTTTTTCCGCTTTGTTCGCCCGGTGTGGAAGAAAAACGCGCAGGGCCACTTCTCGAAATAAATGTTATCAGTCTTGGCAATGTCTTGATGGAAGAAACGGCCGAGGGGGAGGCGTAGGGCATGGCCGGGGCTGAAGACGTCTCCAGTGATAAGACGATAAAGAGAGGAGGTATAAAACGAGACAAGAGGGCTGTGTGTGTGTGAGAGAGTGTGTGTATGTGTTAGTGGTAACATCTCAGCGAATTCCAACTTCCATACAGAAGCGACTATACAGTCCTACGATTGAATTTCCGGAATGTTTCCGAATATTCATCCCTCTGAAGGCGGATCCATCCGTGTCACGTGATGGAAAAATTAAACAATGGGACAGAGAAGGACGATAAAAAAACAAGATAAAAGAAACAATGATTTTTAAATGACTGATTTCACTGGTAACTTTATATTACAGAAATTACTGATTGTTACTAATTATTATTTTTTTACACTTTGTAGTTAGGGTGTGTACAGAAAGAAAAATTATAACAATATATCTTATATTTTTTAGGCGATAGTTGATGACAAATAAACGGAGGTCTATGCTTCTATGAATTTAACTTGCAAAACGAAGTAAAAGATAGCCTTTAACAAGGTTTAGTAATATTCCCATGAAATCATTGGCATAATAAAACATCTATTATAGGAAATAAATCTCTGTCTTCTTATTATCATTATAAATTAACAATTGCATGAACATCCTTAGTGTAATGATAAAGTTATACCCCTAGGTCACCAAGAACAGAATGATTGATCCAACTGTATAAAAATAATAATCTTGCTCCATATTAAATATTATACTTTCCTTCGAATCTAACACAATGACTTCATTACCATCGTAGCAAAGCTTTAAAAAATACAGTAAAATGATGAAACACGAAATATAAATCAAAAGCGTGTACAATTTAACATTTAAACGGATTCAATGTCTACCATTCTATATTCTAATCCTAAATTATGAGTTACAAATGAAAAATTAATTTCTTCGAATTTTTTATCAATAAGATGTATCACAGATTAGAAAGAGGATCATCGAATAATAGACCGTGCGACAGGCGGCGGCGAATCAATGGCAGAAGAAAGGGAGGCGGAACGAGGGTTCAGCCAGCGTGGAGATTATCGAAGGCAATCAGCTATTTGTTCTGTTATTAACTCGATCATAAATTCGGTGCACAACGGGGCACACGAGTAGCCGCGCGTTCGGCTGTCATTCCTGTCAGCGTGCCTTTATCACCCCTCGTTACACATTCCCCGTCATTCGTGGGGCGTGAACGCGATTTTTATCGGTCATCGACGAGAAGAGAAAAAAAAAGGGGGTTCGCGTCTCTCCTTTCACGGTCTTCACATGTTTCCGCGAGACCCTTATCTGTGTGCCGACACATTCAATTAGTCACTATCGCTGCGCAAACATCGCGCCCTTTTTTCGCGAATTTTTTCATTTGTGTGAATTCGTGAAACTGCATTAAAATTAATTTTTGGCAGTTTTTGGATCACCTACAATCTACACGATATGTCACCGTTTAAATTCCATGGGATTTAAACATTGTCTATTGAATCTTCTATGCAGGTTAAAATTGTTCAAGAATCAGATAAATATGCTACACGTTTCTTAAAAAACTACATGAATCACACATTTATGTACGAAGTGTATGTTTGTTTTTATTCTTAATCTGTACTGAGAATCATTCACAGAAATCCTTTAAAGATTTTCAGTAGTATAGAGTGAAAGGTATTAAGTAAACCATAGATTTTTATTTAAGACATGCTTCTAGACTTAAAAAACTATCCAAGGCTAGACTAAAAAAATATCCAAGGTATTCTTCATGAGTCAGATATTCAACATTAATTATCCCAAAGTAATGTAATCTTTATAAGTTTCAAAGACAGTGATACATCACCCCTTGTGTTTGAAGGTTCTCAACCCCCGCAGAATGGAAACGAGCACCGAGAAAGGCGAAGGAACGAGAAAAAGCGAAGAAGCTCGTCGAAGTGAGGGATGGGGGCGTTAAGTGACTTTTCCACGCTCGGTGTTTCTCCTGATCTCGATGATAGCGAAGGCACGGCCCTGTTGGAGGGAGGGAGGGAATTTCTCTATCAGTTCTTGGTCCCTCTTCATCCAACCCACCTTCCGTCATCGTCTCGGTCGCTCTTCAGGGCGGTGGGGTGCCACGCGACCGCTGATTATACCATTCATCGGGCGGCCTGGTCCAAAAGAGGGTTGCAAGCCGACTCGTAAACGTCGTAGCATCCTTTCACCACTATTCCCCCCCCCCAATCTCCTCTAACCGTGCCCACTTGGTGCCTGCCCACGGCCTTGAATGCCCCCTCATCAATGAAACAATTCGGTTTTCCGGCGGCCCATCGCCGACGGCTCCTTAATTTCGAGATACTGCACCCCCGCGGATGCCACCCTCTTCTCCCCCGCGAGTACTTCTTCTTCTTCTTCTCCTTCGATCAATTACCACTGTTTGTGTTTGTTTCCAGACGGATCTCCTCCGCTTTCATCGGTGGTTCTGGGAGCCCTTGGATCGTGTGATATATTTTTTTTTCTGGGCTCTGTAAACTGTGATCTTTTACGACGGAACTGAGCGCTATTTATATCGTGTTCAACCCTTAACTGGTCAACTGCAGTCAGCGATTCGAATCGTCCGAGTTCTTAACTGCACTAACTCCAATTTTTTAAAAATTTAGTTAATCCACGTGCGTCTCTATGGACCAAGGAATACGAATTCATCAAACATAATATAAAGAAAACATAACCTAGAAACACCAACTATTCTTTTAAGTCCTAACTTCGAAACTTTCGAAGTTTCTTCTTCTTAATGATTGT